AAAAAATGAGGAATAGAAAATATTTTACTGTGAGTTTTCAAGCCCGTATGACACTGAAATATGTCTATTGGTGGAATTATCATAGCTATTAACAGCAGAGGGAGCTTCAGTTATGCAAATTACAATTACAATGGAATCACGGTGTTTCTGCCTTACTAACACAATTAATGTAAGCATAGATGTATCCTTCAACCACAGTGATAAAGAATGATTACAATTGGATATTTTCATAAAGACAGAAATATGCAGAAGCAAGGATGACTGAAGTACCAGGAATGAAGTTAGTGTACTGATTTTTTTTTGTTTGTTTTTTGTTACAGTGGTTTAAACCAAAGCAGAATCATGGCTGGTTTTAGAGAAAAAACTAAGGCAAAAATGAAAGACCTCATTATGAAGATCTTAATAAACCTGTAAACATGGCTTTCGGGTCAGTGATATTTTATAAATATTTCCATATAAAGAAAGATGCAACAATTTAGCTGATAAATACAAAAAAAAGTTGCATTCAGCATCAAATTCTCTGTAAAGGTTGTGCCCTACCAACTGTAAGATTTTCACTTATACCAGAACATCCTCACAGCTAGCTTCAGGGACTACTGCTAAACGGGGTAAAACCAGGTTGACACACAAAAAGCTGATGCTTTGTCAGTTATGTCATCTAGGGTAATTCAGCTGTTTGACGAAAACATCGCCATCTCATGGAATGTATGTCATTCCCATGGTTACGGCTGTACAGCCTGTCAAGTATTTTGTAGACTAAGTCAAAAGGCTTAGAGCAGAATAATGCAGAGGGTTCTCTCTCCAAAACAAACTTTGCAGCTATGTAATCTCTCTTCTTGTGCGTTTGTATGTGTTTGGGTTTTTCAAGTTTACTGAAAGCAACACAATACCTTGAAATCTCACTCTATGGATTTTTAGAAAGCTCTTTAATATATAATGTGGATTACTGCTTAAAATCATGCATTTTCAAACACAAACTGTCATAAAATCTTTGGGTTGTAGTTTTGTCTTTAATTTGGCAGTCTGGAATGTAAGTGAGAGAGGTTAGGCTAACAGAAATGTTTGTCCAATAGGAAAGAAAATGTAATTTAGAAAGTTTTTTTTTAGTATAAAATGCATCTATTCAGTAAAAGGTTTGCCATATATTTTACATTTATCTGAGCTATGCTATATAGATTAGATATATAAAAAATGCAGTTAGCTTTAAAGAGTAATAATTGATGATAAAACTGCTGCTGCATTCTCTGGACATCAATAACATCTATCTTATTTTAATCTATCTTATAAGAGCCCTCTACATGCTTGCACAGATCTGAAGTACAAGGAGGGACATCACATGCATGACCTATTTTTTATTCATCTTCTGTGTATTGGCAGCAGCCGTGGCTCCATACTGAGTTAATAATCTTTATTAAAAAAAAAAAACTCCGATCTTGAAATTGTGTCACACAATTTAACATAATTGCAGATCTTGTCAAATAGTGCTATATGCGGAAGTTCTTTGATGATGTACAATAGAAAAAAATACGTTTTGTTCTGCAGTTATCACAATGTGTTGTATGAATAGCAGCCATATGTATGGTTTAGGTTGGGGCTAGTGAGTATAACTCTGAAATTCAATCTTCTAAGAACAAACAGGGGGCAGAAAAATGTTTGACATCCCAAGATGTAATTCACAGCAATCTTCAGAAACTACCCACCACCCTGAGAGTATCATCCTTAAAGTGAAAAGTGATGGTGGCAGCATATTTTGGAGATATTTTTCTTTAGCAGAGACAGGAAAGTTGGAGTTAGATAACAGAGCAAAGTACACAACCAAACTTGACCAAAATCTGGAGGAATCCACAAAATTCTGATTAAAAGTTTTTCCAGCTGGGATTTCTAAATTGAAACACCAAAATTCTGGCACCCGAGTACAAGGTGTGGGGGTGATATGAAAAGCTTAGGTTATAAACTATTTATTGAGTTTTGCTATGTAGGGGTCAATTACAGAGACAAGTACATGAAAGGAGCAGAATATGTTGCTTTTGAGACAAGGGGCAGGCTGTAGTGCTGAAAGATGCAATGACAAAGTCACAGGAGCTGTTGCAGACAAGGGATCCCCTGCCCTGCTGCCCCCAGCATGAGCCACTGGAAGGCGCTGAAGAAGCACCAGGAGACACTTGTGACGTCTGGGCTTTGGAGTGTTGGAGATAGGCATAAGATAAGGTGGGAGACACCAGGGCTGGAGTGGGGCTGAGGTTCCAGACATCCTGAGTAGAATTTTATCTGGTGCATGGTTCTAACTCAAAGGGTCATGCTCATATTGATTCTATAAAAATTGCATTTAATTTATGCAAATCTTGATAGCAATCAGTTATAGGTAATGAACGCCCAAAATTGTGTTGAAGAATTACAGGATTTTGAATCAGAAAATGTTAAATCATAGCAAGCATTTTAATAGAGGGTTAAGTGTATGGAAATATGCAATATATAAAAGAGATGAAACAACTAGAAAAATTGCATCCACCATTTATCTTCTACCGCCTGTCTGTCAGGGTTACGGGTGGCTGATGCCTTTTTCCAGCAATCTCTGGGCAAACGGTAGGGTATTATATGTGTATAGCTACTTTCCCATTTAAATTATCGGGTTGAAATATTTTTCAAATGTGGGTTGACTTACTAAAAATCGGCATTTGACTCCTTTAATGGTTGATGCTCTGCTGGCCAGCTGTGCGGCTTCTGTTCCTCGCTGCTGTGTTAGCTTTGGTGATGTCAGGTTGCGACAGATATCAGGAAAGTAAATAATGTAGAGGAACATGCAAGGGAGCCGGCGCATAATCAGTGTGCTTTAGTGTTTTGGTCTGGTTCGATGTTGTGATGTACATACGTTGCCATCTGGGTTATCGCATAAATTAGCGGGTCTTTGTGGGTCTGGTCTGGTCACTGTATGCCAACTGGAGCCGAGCCGTTTGAAGACCCATGTCACTTGCCGAGTTGTTTGACGCAGGTCATCAGTGAGACATTCCCACTGCTGCTACAAACTGATTGTTCCAGGGTTTAAACTTTTTTTCTTTTTTTGCAAATATTGCAAACCCAGTTTTCAACATCTTTTCAAAAATCTAAATATTAGAGCTTTTCAGCTTTCACTTTTCAACCAAATGCATATGTTGTTTGGATGTATGTAAATCATGTCATTCTTCCAATGTCTTTTCAACCAATTTTTGCTTGGTGGGTCCTTCTCGGTCTCGCCATCATCCCAGGTTGCACCACGCTCTTTTCAACCATTTATTGTTAATGATCTAAGAATAAGTTTGCATTGTGAACAGGAGAAGAGATCTGTAAATTTCAAAGCTGGACATGCCAGAAAACCTATGTAATGAGTCAGCTGACTGTAAATAGGAGATGATGCCATCTGCTCATGCACTTTTTGTTATCAGAGAACTAAGCCACAGATGAACCGTGCCGAGCCCTAATGTTGAACTAGTACTAGATTTAGCGGGGCTTGGTTGTGTCTCACAAGGTCCAGTTCAGTTGCGTTCTATTTACACTCAACAGTTATGTTGTTTAGCGTGGTTGTACTATTCGCTGCAAGGTTTCAAAAGGATAGTGTAAATGTGATAACATAATGACTAGCTACAGTATCAATAGCCACCATTCAACAACTTAGGCAGTACAGTCGTTTTTGAGACGAATATTGCAGACTTGGTCTGTTTTTTTGTTTTTGTCATTTTTACCTTTGTTGCACCCATGAGAAAATGCTTGCCCCACCCTGGTGCCTAGGGTTGGGAATTGAAAAGATTTTCATGATTCCAATTCCCTTATCGATTCTGTGAAACGATTCATTACTGTTAAATTTCGGGAAATAAAGTAATCTCCCCCTGATTTAAATAAACGACCGTCACCTTTCTCTCGCTCCCTGAACTGCGGAGCAAATTCGTAGCATGTTTCGTTATATCCATTGCAATATCTAGAATCATGTAAGAATTCCATCTGCCAGTAGTTCTAATTAAACCTGCTAGCAATGAAGGGCTGGGTTAACCCCAAAGAGAGGTAGGAAATAGGTTTATTTCCAGAAATGGCATATGATTTACTAGGAACCACATGTGATATAAAACTAGCAACTTACCACCAGAATTGCCTTCCATGCAGGTCGTAACTTTAGCTTCTATCTGGAAGCATCAAAAACACGGCATTCGTTAAACTGTATGCCATGTTGTGTGCGAAGGTGTTACTGCATGTTGGATGTATTGCAAAGCGCCTTGTTGCCATCTTTCTCTGCTTTAAAATTAAGTCAAACTTTTGATGGCTTTACCCGATAGGACGCCATTTTTTATGTTTGCTTTTCTAGACTTATGCCTGGTCACTTGCTTACTGAATGCTGTGTGCATAACAAATGTGACCTAAGTCGTGCTACCCAGCGCTAGGCTCTGGTGCTGCCTGGAACCCTTAAGAGAATCGTTAAGCGAGCTGCCAAACGGTGCTATGGAATTGGAACATATCGAACCGGTTCTGAAGGGAACCGGTTTTCGATTTTCATCCCTACTGGTGCCCCTGGTAAATTTTTACCACTGACAATAAAAAAAATAAAACAACATCCCAAATACTCAGTTTATGCAGTTTAAATGTAAAAAAAAAAAAAAAAATACTAAAGTGGAAGTTGAAGTGAGTTTCACTTTAAGTATTTGAGTACCTCTGCAAAACAGTTGCAAAGTTTGCTTGTCCATAAGTCTGGCTGTGTTGCCAGTGATCCATGATTTATTCTGAAGGTTTTCAGAACTTATTTGCAGAAAGTCCCCTTTGGGAAAAATATATATTTCTTTCTGATCGAAGAAATAATCGCAGAAGTTTTCCTTCAGATGCATCGGCATAGCGTCAGAAGGCTCCATTTCTAAAAATGGACGGACTCTTTAATTTCTTTATGAGGAGATAAATAGGGGGCGGTTCTTCAGTCAATATCTTTAATTGCTCCTGGGTTGTATCAATACCTACCGGTTTTACTGCTCCATCACGAGCCACTGGGAACGGGTTGCCCGGGAAACGGCCGCATGGCAACAGGATCAGAGCCTGGGGGTTGTCTGCTTCTAGGTCTGCTCCCATTTTACATCGCATTTCCTCACTAGATGGTGTGCAAGCCACTGGAGAGAACACTTCCACCGCACTGCGAGCTGCACATCCAGCTACACAAAACCTGGGAAAACTACAAACCACGGAGTTCCAAAGCGGACGAGTGTGGAGTTAAAGAAAGCCCTCCGTGGCGTTTTTTCTTTAAATTCAAAAAAAGAATCTTTTTGTGGGGTAGCAGTAACACTTCGGGAAGAAAAAGGCGAACAGAAAGCAGCTGTGATGGACATAATGATTGCGGTGCAGGATGCTGCTTGTGTCTCCGGTCAGTGGTTTACTGCGATCATTTTCAGCCTGTGCTGCTTCCTGCCGTCCTGTTTGCCAGCCGGACAAACTGTGGACTATTCCTCGGTGGAGAATGTAGTGAGCAGACAAGGCGACACGGCTCTGCTGAGGTAAAGGAAGCAAACTTCACTTTCCACCGCTCTCCTCTCATGCCTTTCTGCAAAGTTAAACCCCGAAACTCCCACACTTCCCCATCTTTCTATGTGAAATGTCTGTTTATTACTTTTTTTAAGGCGATATCCGAACAATGGATATGTTTCCCTCCATTTACTCGTTGTTTTTCTTGACCCCCCCCCCCCCCATACAGGACGCTTGAACAAGTGCATGTCGACTGACTAATAAAAGTTTGTTGTAGTTTTTCCTTTGAACGCAACATTTTGCAATAATTGAAGTTCTACAAGAGAGGTGTTGAGTTGTTACCTTTTCGCTGGAAATGCACACTTCGCTTTGTGCTTTCCATGGCTTATGTAATTGGATGACATTATATTTGCCTGATTTCCACCGCTTTGAAGGACTATATTAGAGGGACAATAAAAAAAAAAAAGTCAGATTTGCTGTTTTTGGGAGCTGCGTGTGAGGTTTAGGTGATTGCACAGAGTGATGTCGCAGTTTCTAAACCGAGGGAAGAACAGTGTATGAGTGGCCGCTGCTGATCTGAATCCAGTTATGGCTATGACGCGATATCTCCCTCCCCCCTTTGCCTCCTTCCACCCCTCCATCCGCCTTCCCTCCATCAATAGGTGCCAGCTGCACAGGTAGCTGCTCATTAAGGCTTGAATTAGCAGCTCTGGGTGCTGTTCGGCTCCACTGCACACATTTTGGTGATCAAGAATCCAATTAGCAATAAATAAATAAACAAAATGCACTTAATATTGCATTTTTACATCTTAAAATCATTCAAATAATAGGGGTTACTCAAAATAATATGCAGAGGCGTAGCCAGAAATTTTTTATAAGGGTGGCCAACAACCAATGTAAACTCGAAAGTGGATCGGCGCCAGAACCTCACCCCCAGATTCCACATACTCCGCCCCGCTAACATGCGCCGTGTGGAGTAATTGGCTACATTCACACTGCAGCCTGAAGTTACCCAAATCCGATTTTTTTGCCCATATGCGACCTGGATCTGATCTTTTCATGGCTGTCTGAAGAACACAGATCCGATTTTTTCCAATGCGACCCAGGCCACTTGGCTATATGGTCCTGAATCCGATACTAATCTGATCTTTTCAAATGCGACCTGTGTGTGAACGGCCAGAACGCCATGAATACCCGACAAACGTCACTATTATGCGTCTTGCTATGCAGAAGCGGCAAGAAAAACAATAACCATGGCAAGTGATGATGCAGAGAACAGTATTTATGTTTAACCATATTAAAAAGATTGCGAACGGCAACGTAAAAAAAAAATCGGATTTCACAAAAAAAAAAAATTGAGCATCAAGGCCTGCGGTGTGAACGTAGCCAATGTCTGTCGTGTTAATCCATGAGAGCTGTTCCACATCCACCGCTTCTCCGTCCGTCACCGACAAAATATAATAGATACAATTCTCAGATTAACCCGTGTTTTTGTTGTCAATTAATTATCAATGTATATAAAAAAAATTTAGTATATGAAAAATTTTATTGTTTTGAATATTCCACTTGAGAGTATTAGGGCAGCCACCATCCATATTAGAGGGGGGAAAAATGGTAGGGGTGGCCAAAGATTTGCTAAGGGTGGCCATTGCAACCCCTGGCCCCCCATCTACCTCCGTCTCTGATAATATGGTGATATAGCTCCCTTATCTCCTTTATTAGTATAAAAGCTGAGGGGACAGTCCTATCTTTATTTAAATATGAATTCTTCAGATGTTGACTTTAAGATGTTCTGCATTTGGTGCCAAATGCAGAACCTACAGCAAAAGTAATTGAAAGCAATAGAAGTTTGCTTGATATCAGGAGGTGAAGAATGGGGCATGATGTTACACAATAATGGGCTCTGGGCACCTTGTCTATTTCATAAAAAAAACACTAAGATTCTCTTTTCCAATAGCTTAAAGGTTTTGTAAATCTCAAAATTTGTTTAATTGAATAACTTCTGTCAAGGGCTGTATTTGCAGTTTTGATCTGCTTTGAATTTTTTTTTATTTACAAATGTGCTGAAAGGAGGCTAATAATGCAGAGGATTACGTTTGCATCAGTTATAAGCGAAGGTAGCAAGCACTTTGTTAGCAGCTGAGTCTAGTGTCATTTCTGCCTCACTCCTAGTCAGTGGGGCTATTCCGATAGGATTTAGTCATTTGCATATTGTCTTCATCTTTTTTTCTATTATCCCGAAATAGAGCTACATAGGCAATTTAAAAGTGATGTAAGCTTCTTCATAGCCGATGTAACTGACCAAGTCCAACAGGGAGTCTTTATTAATAGACTCTGTCAAAAACCCTATCAGCAACTTGAGAACTACACCCTTTGTTTCTTCATATTAATGGTGCAGAGAGGTCTAAAGCACTCAGTTTTACATTTGTTGCTGCTTTTATTGAAAAGTTAGCATAAAAAAAAGAAATTTAACAGTGCTTCAATGGGCATACTTTAATTTGAGTAGAAATATTGCCGCAGTTTAATCCCCAGATCGCTTTTTTATTTTTGTTTGACTCATGCTTAGAAGAAGAATCAAAATACATTCCAGGTTACAACTTTAGCTTTTTTTAAATTAAAATTGTGCTTTTTATTTTTGTAATTCTATTTGATGGCCATTAAGAGAATCAAAGAAAAAACAGCAATGTCCCTCCCTCACGTGTTGCTGCACACTTCCGGGCAGCTGGCTGAAACAGATTTAAAATTCATGAAAAACCTTACGAGTTTGAAATCTTGGGTTAGAACCTTCTTTTCACTCTGAAGAGCAGAAAAAGATAGAAAGGTACAATATGGGACTCTGCACTTATTTGAAATCTCCTGCTTGATATAACGTTTTTTTTTGTGCCTATTTCTATATATAAAATTGAAATTTGTAAAAAAAAAAAAAAGCATATCCTCATGGTATGAGATCTAAAAGTTATCATACCATGATAATCTTATACATTTCTACTCCTAGTTCTGCCCCTGCTAAAGGACTTAGACTTGCCACTGTCTTTTCTAGAGAAAGTCTTACTTCCTACTGATTGAGCTGTGTCGACAGCGATCAGCGGGGAAAGTATTAAGTCAAAATTCTGCCAAAAATGCACACATGTAATAAGTCCTTATAAAAACAAAACAAAAAAAGTAGTTTCCATTTTTTTAATGTGTTATGATTTCAGATTCAATACAATTAGGCCCCCAAAACATAAAGCATTTAAGCATGTACCTTCCCTGTGCTGGTGGTTTGCTTTGTAGACCTGTGCACTCATGCCAGCTTTTGTCTGTTTGAGGGTAAACCAAACTGTTAAAGAAGACTGCCTGTGATTGGCTACTTATCAGCAAATCACTTTTTTTGTGATAATACTGTTTTCTTCCTAGTTGTACCTTGAAATGTTAGATAAGCATCTTAGGGCTAATCACTGTTCTCTCAAAGAGTCAAAACGGTGAAATATCGGTTTTTACAAAGTTCGCTGGTAAATATGAAATCTGAACTCTTCATAACAGCTATTAACTTTAAGATTCTTTACCAACATTACTTTCAGCTATTGGAAAAGAATATGGTCTCAAGAGGCGGGAATTCCTGAAAAGTAGCCAATCAGAGGCCGTCAACTTTCTCAGATTGGTTGAAGAAGTTAACATGAATGCACAGAAATGTGTCCAAATGCGACTAAAGGAGGCTCTACTGGAACACAAAAAAGCAAACCAGACTCGTATGAGTATTTGTTATGTGTGCACATATAGCATAATTCTGAATTCTTAGAAAATATCTCCCCAATCTTAAGGCTTTTTTGGTCCAGATTATATGTTTTGCTATGAATTGGCACAATTCATAGCTGCAATACAGCTGCAATTACTTTCAAGCAGGTTGTCACATTAATAAATACCACCTATAAATTTCGACCAAAAGATTAAGAGGAAATATTTTCACGATTTCATGGATGAAACCAAAATGGTTAATTAATGGGTTATTCAGCACTCTGTACAACCATTCATTTGCCCTTTTTTCATATGTAAATGCTGCCAGTTTGACGTTATCGCTGTGCTCTGCTTGTGCATGTAGATATCGTACAGATGCCGAACACTAATGCTGTGGTTTGCATCTCACTACTTAACATTTTCATCAGTGTAGTGATGATAAAAGCCCTGCTCTGTCTCTGTACTGTCATTTTCTCCAACCACAAGCAAGGTCTGCTCTGTCATTTTGCCTCTATCCTGAGAGCTTAGCATTAGTGAATGAATGGACTATCTCTTTAGGAACTAAGTGTGGAAAACAGTGCCTGCCTGTTGAATTTCCCGATTGTTGAGACCCCTGGCTGGTAGGGGGCACTTTACTGTGCCCCAATGCTGATTACTGGCTAAGAATGTGAGCTTTCTCAAACACTGAAAGGCTTAGAAGCATACAATTATTCATTGCCTCTGGATTATGAAGTGGATCCATACAGATGCATTTGTGCTAATTTTTATTTCCCCCACCTCCTCGATTCTTTGTGTTGTATTTTTCTTGGCCTGATTTATGCCTAAAACCTGGATGCCTTAAGCTTTTTGAAAGAGAGAGTTCAGAGGTACATCATCTCTGTAAAGGCCCAGATTATGTGAGGGATGCATCTTTCACAATGTTTTACGTGTGTGCATTAAAGTTTTGTGAATGTGATAATTCCTCTGTAACTGGGAACTTACATCTAGGGGCAGGTCGTTCAAGTAAAGAACACATCATTTAATTTCACTTTGCAGGTTTCATGTCATCTGGATTCAGATGAATAAACAACCTCAGTAGATGACTCATCTGGCTGTGAATTTGAAACGGACAGAAGAATAAAAAGACTGTTTTTTATGCTGCCAGGACACACACTGCATCACTGCCTACCTCTTCCACTTGGATAAGCAATTGAAATGAAAAGAAAGAATCTTGTCTAAATTAAGTTAAAGAAGACTTTAAGTTTAGGAATGTAGATCAATCTACTTTAATTACTAACCCCTAATCTACTGTACTTGGATTTGTTCTTTGTAATAATAT